TTTTTATTTTTAATGTTTAAAATTTATTTATTCTTTTATATTGATGATCTCCATATTAGAGATTACATGTCCTTAAAAACTAGATCCAAAAATCCATTTGAAACATAGATTTATAAGAGGTGACTCATTTCTACATGGACTCATAGAAACCATGCCCTTGTCTAAAACCCCATGTTTCCTCTTCTTTTTTTTTCCTTTTTTTTTTAAAAAAAAAACAAATATGTTGTTTTCTAAGGTCCTTCTTAACAAATCTACACCCCATAAACCCCTATTGTTATTTTTTATTTTATTTTTATTTTTTTCTAAATTATCAATTTGGATCGATCTAGATTACTAATCCAATGATCTGACACAGATATTCAGAGTGGACAATCCAGCCCACCGATCTAAAATTTGAAATATTGTTAAAACTAATGGATTTGACCTCTCAAATTGAAATACTTTGATATAACCATCCAAAATTTGTGATGCCTCTGCTTGTCCTAGGGTATCATTCTTTAGACAAAAATACAGTGTGTATCTTTTCTCTAATACAAGATTTCATGCTCCCGGGAGCATACTGTCCATTTGCTCCCTCGGGAAAAATCCACACGTGGAATATTTGAATCCCAAATTTTGGATATGTAATCTCTAGAACCTGGTGACTAACCTCAAAAGGAGAAGAAAATTCACCTGCACCCTCTATGTGCCAAAAAAATAATGACATCCCAATATTGAACAGTAACGGCCCAATTTTTTGAGGGGAAGATCTAAATGTTCAAGAACTCAAAATCTATTTTTTTTTAAAAAAAAATTATCGTATAGTGATACTTAGATCGATCCCAAACTTTCATATAAAAAAAATCTCCCCAGCATGAGCCTGCTATACATACTCCCACGGGTTGGTTGCTATAGTTGAGGAGGTGACATACCATATCCCAAAAATTGGAGACTTAAAAATACTCCTTTTAGAGTATTCGAGTAGTAAATGTAAATGATACCCCTGCGGGAGTAAATAAGATGGCGTATATTATGATTATCGAAAACCTTTGGATTTATATTATGATTATAGGCCATTTTAAGGTGGCATATATTCCATTAGAGTATTTTGTTCAGATGGGGTCCAATGTCTCATCCTGTGGTACTATGGAGTAGGATAGTATATGCTGGTCTAGTGTCGGGAAGCATCATTTAGCCATCCAGCACTTACATGGAGCTCGTGTGGTTGTCTTCTTCGAGATCCTGTTTTTTTTTGTTTTTATTAAATTCAAGAAAAGACCATGTGCTTCTAGCTACACTTTCCTCTTTGTGGGGATTATAGAAGTTTAAAGACGGTGACATATCAAAGTGGCCACTACTAGTGTGCTCAGTGTCCTTGAGAGGGATCGATCATAACTTTTCCGAAACGGTGCGGTTTGTATAGGGACGAGGTTCTAAACAATCAAATAAAGCGCATCTTTAAATAGTATCGAGAAATATGGTTTCAATACTGGAAATTTTTGTGATAACCTTATAATATATTTTCATCTTTAATTATAAAATTTAAGAGGTGGTTTTGAGACTTGGAAATATATTGTCTGCGAAACATATTACTAGCGTAATACATTACCTGCAAATGGATTGTTACTGTTTGAGTAGTATTTTGATGCAACCTGAGAAATACATTGCTAGTGTTTGGCTGTGTCTGAAAGAAACTTGGGAAATGCATTACCAATATTTTACCAGCACTTGCCTATAAACTATCATTTCTTTTTTTTTTTGTCACAAAATTCCACTGAAATGCGGAATTAAATTCATCATCACACCATTTCAAAAAGATTTTTTAATAATAATATCATCACCATTCTAGAGAGATAGAGAGAGAGAGAGAAAAAAAAGTAGTAATAATCACCATTCCAACAATAAAGAGAGTGCAAAATATTGATATTAATCATCATCATTTTAAAGAGAGAATGAAAACGTGAAATAAAATTGTCATTGTTCCAAGAAGATCTACTAATGTTATCATAGATATAGAAACTGATAGAGAAGTTCATCATCATCCACCAAAAGAGAAAGAAATAATGTATGTGTGTGTGTTAAAGAGTAAGAATAGCAATTGGATAATAAAAATTCACAAGCCCAAAAACCATTTCAGTCAAATAAAGAGAGCGAGAGGAACCCAAATAAAAAAAGTGTCGATTTTACTCCACTTTACATGTCATCACCTTCTTGAAAATACTTTGAGTTAATCCAAAACACCCGGTCTTCTTCAGTCATTTTTAAGAATCCCTCACTAATATTTACATTTGCTATCATTTCATTATAGGCTCACAAGAAGACAGGTCGAACAAGACCATTGATCTGTTTAAGAGCTCTGTAGACCTCTCGTATATGTGGGTTTGCTGTTAGTTTTCTCAAATCTACAATTGCAGCACCAATTTCTTTCACGGCTACATCTATTGACTCCACAATATCAACCATGGTTTTTTTTTTCTTCCTCGATGGCATAACCGATGTTGATTTCCTAAATGGATTGGTGGTCATACCATTCGTCTTAGATTGGACCGGTGTCTCTAGGAAGTCCTCATCATCACCTATTTCTTCAACACCATCATCATCATCTAAGCCTACAATCATCTCTTGTAAATCCTCAACATCATCATCAATGTCTCTCTTTAGTTGTACTGTCGTCTTGGCACCAACACCCTCGGCAAAATCATTACCGGCAATTATACTAAGCTCCTTCCAGTATTCAAAAGACTTCCCTTTTAAATTCTTTGCAAACTGATTAGATTGCAAGATTAATATAATATGCATTAACTTAAAAACTAATTTATATTTTTTTCAAAATAATAAAAAATTAAATAGATCAAAAACACACAAAGAATCATTGATAATGGCCATATGTGATTCTTCATTCCATCCAAAGCCACTTTGGTCCTTCATTTTTTTGACAGTTTTGTAGTTCTTTCATCACGTTCTAAGTTTATTCTTAAAAGCGGTGGTTAAAAAAACGGATCGGTGACCCGGATCGAGCATCCCAAAAACCGATCCGGATCAGTAATAGCTCAGATTAAGCCTTAAAAAAATTCAAAAAAATTATTAAAATTCATTATAATTTTAAGAATCCAATAAGAAATGGAGATACTACATTATTAACTTTCATTGTTTTCATCAATTTATGAATATTGAAATGTTCTTTCCCTGTATGAACTTATGTTGACCCTTGAATTTACATCACACAAAAGAAATCATAGAATTATCATGGATTAAATATAAAATCATATATGGACTACAATAAAAAGTTGACTAAATCGATGAAAAATTGACCACTAAAATCTCGAATTGGTGAAAAACCCTAATCTGTTAAAAAAAGCCAAATTATTACAACTTAACTAACTATAATATTATATACCAATAATATTTTATAATTATTGTATTATATAAATAATAACAAATCCAAAATATTTTATAATATTATCTAATTTAAAATGTATTATTGATAACTGTAAGAAAAATAATACACTACATGATTTTTAATACAAAAATTAATAAATAAAATAAAAGATTTGGTTATCAATGTAAAAATTATTAGAATGCGTACCAATTTTCTTAAATTTTTTAGGTTTCTAGAATAAATTAGTGGAAGAGATTGTTAATAGAAAGAGAGATTTTAAATGGCCTCATTGTATGAATCCTATCTTTAAATTAATATTACTAAATTTATATTAAAGACCATCGTGTTATAAAAATTAAAAATATAATTAGACCATTTATTCCTAGGTTGTATTAAGAAATACCTTTTATTTTTTGGACAAGAAATACTTATTGTGTTATCTTTTTTTTTTTTTACAAGAAAAATATGATACTTGTTGATTTTCTTTTCTTTTTTTTTGACAAAAGAAGAAGATGTACTTCATTTTTTTTTGCTTGTTATATTACTTTTTATTTTTTTTACAAGAAAAAAAAAAAATGATGCTATCAAAGTACATATTATTTTTTTATGCCTTTTGTTTTATTTTTTTGCAAGAAATACTTATTATATTACTTTGTATTTTTTTTACAAGAAAAATAAAAAAATATTGTATTATCTTTTTTATCTTTATCTTGAAAAGCTTTTAATTTTTATTTTTTTTTTATTTTTTTTACAACAGTATTTCTGCCTTTGTTTATTTTTTTGACAACAAAATATAAACGAGGACGCGCGCTAAGGGATTCAAACTCTAGACGTCCACCGAAAAATCGAAGATATCAACCAACACCACCACGTCACCTAATGTGATTTTATTAGCTTCTATAATAATATATATTCAATCGTCTTCTTTTAATGATTTTTTGTGGGAATTATCCCACATCGAAGGATGAGCGTCGTTTTGTTCTTTATAAATTTCTGTGTAATAGATGTTGCATTGCGCGTGTAGAAAAGCGAGGGGGCAGACATGTGAGGTGAGTTACCACGTATGGAGGATTTTTAGGTGCCACGTGTTGCTCCCGTGAGGCAGCCACGTGTAAACCCAAAAATTACTAGAATGCCCAGGTTTTTTCAATGAAATTCGCGATTCACTATTGGGAATCGCCCGGTTCTCTCTGGACATGGGCGATTCCTGATTTTTTCGTGGAACCAGCTCGATTGCAAACTATTCCCGAGTCGAACCGGGCGAGTCCGGCTCGACTCGACGAGTTTTCAAACCCTGCTTAAAAGCATCCCTTCTCAAATTCATTCCAAAACTGGCATTGAACTTCTGTCAATTGCACACAATTGCACTCCATTGCTAATTTTTAAATGCTAATTCGAGCTTCTTAATGAGCAAGCAGTGCTCAACAAGTAGCTCCAACAAAATTATCTCTATTTTTTAAGTCCATTTAAGTTTCCTCCCTGTCTTGGGATTTGACTGAGCCATTGGAATTTCATTCGTCATGTCTAACATGAATTATCAAATATCACTATCACATCAACTATTAAAAAAAAAATATTCACATGGAATGCATTCATCTAATATAACAATGTAACATACAATTACAAAGCTAAGTTATACGTGAGCAAAATAGAAATTTCATAGATTTAAAAGGATCATAATGTCTAACAGAAAAACATAAAGTAAAATCAGGTTTACATCCCATAAAAGCTGTTCTCATGAATTCATCTCAATTATAAAAATAAAAATTATGAGTTTCAATTAAGACGACTCCTATAATCTGACCACATCCGCATCGGAAGGTCATCTCTGAACTCAAACCACTCATCTCTCTTCCTCTGACTCCTCTCAAATACTTCCGACTCTGGAACTTCCACTAACAGTGGCTGGTTTTGATCTTGATATTCCATATTCATAATAAGGAAGGTCATCGTCTTCACTTGTAATGAAATTGTGTAAAATACAAAATGCAACAAGTATCTTGACTTGTGTTTTGATTAGATAGGTAGTAATCACTTTCAAGATAGGGAAACATGCCTTCAAAACTCCAAAAGCACGTTCAATAGCATTTCTGAGAGAGAAATGTCATTTATTAAATAACTCATTGTAGTTCTATGGTCTTTATCTACCGCAATCATAGTCATTCAAATGGCAATGAGTCCTACAATAAGAGGCGAGAAATCATTAGTTATTAGGGTACCCGAGATCGATAAGATAGTATTTTCCTACAAAATGAATATTTGATTGAGATTAAAATCAATTATAATATATTGTTATGTGAACAAAGGTAGTATCAAAGATAGAGTCGAAATACCATTGGGAACTATGAAGAGGATCATCACAAGAGAGTGATGATTGCAAAACACAATAATCAACAGTAGAGCCCTCCCATAAGGAAACAACGTCACCTTCTTACGAGTGATTTCTAGTGACATGTTCGACTCTGGTGGTTTGAATAACTCTTTGTGAGGTCCTATGACTGCATTAAACATTTGGTTTAAAATGTCGACTGATAGTTTTTCCTGAGTGACCAAACTCATGACCAATATTTCGATTCTTCAGGTTGTGGCTTAGAATGTGCATGAACATCATAAGTTGTTCATTAAATGAAACCCCCATTGTATCAGTGATATTTTCTCTCTCTAAAAGAATATTCTTCAAGATAAAGTAAACTCTTTTACTTATTCTAATCTAATTTCGATAGGCCACATCAGTTGAGTTAATTATCGTTTTATGGTATTTTCTACCAATTGAATTACGCTTTGGTATGGATGATTTATGCACATAGGTCGCTTAAATAGTACCTAATATATCTAGAGTACTACTAGCTACAACAAGTGATCTTGCTATTTTTCATCTTTGCTTCATGCTTGAGGTTTTGATTGTTACTTACCCTGGGATAATTGAGGATTACTGCAGGGCATAATGTTAGTATTTTTTAAATAAATATATGCCACAATGTTAGTAACTTGGTATTTGTTCAAGCCTCTAGGCAATAAGGCAAATTTGCCACAAAAGCATGATTAGACAGCTGATAATCATGTAACTAGGGATACTTTGATTATTTAATGATTCAAAGGGATTCAATGCTAGGTGGAGGAATTGTATGCGAGAGTGCATAAGCAAGAAGATGCCAACAGGGAGCACAACCTAATAAATGAAACAAAAATTATAATACTTTTTAACTATGTGATACTCTATTCGATGGAGCAAGCATCAGTATTTTGTGCTTTCTTGCTCTAGTAAATTCAAACATTGACTCATGCCCCATAACATGACAATAGTCTATGGTAAACCTAGAGAGGATTAGAAAAAGAATAACAATCAGCACCGAAAGAGCGCAGAAACATCAATAGGACTCTGCCATGAAAGAGGAAGATTATCACATATCACGCCTTTGTTGAACACTCTTTAAGCTGAATGTCAGTCTATAAGGTAACTCACCTCATATGGTAATTCAAGATCATAATGAATGCAAAGTTAGAGAGTAAAAGTAAGGTATCGAAGCAAGCCAATAAAATCATGATATGACGTAAAATCAGAGCAGGAGTTTCCCCATTAGGTGAAACATATTGATCTATGAGGGATCAGACTCTGTTTTCTTGTTTAATCTGCCAGCTTGAGTGAGAGCAATAGCATATTTGGATTAAGAATTACAAATACTTTCAAAAGTATTGTTCACGTCAATGCCACTGCACAAAGCTAGCATTGGAAGATACTGGTTGGATTAAGCAAATAAGTGCTGAAAGCAATGCTAAGCAGCCAAACTTCCTATAGATTTTTTACCATCCAACAATCTTGCATGACCAGGATAACAGAAAAAATGGAAGAGAACGCTAGGAAATCAGAATCATAACAATGGGATGCAATTAACAATGAACTTTCAAATAGACAGACCAAATAAATAGTACTCAGTGACACAGTAGAGAGCAGTGTGACAAGTAAATGCCCTAAAAATTAGCGGAATATCAAGCTTCCAATAAATTTTGATAGCAAAGACTTATGGTTAATGAAGGACAAAATGAGAGACTCAAAATAGAGGCGCACATAATATAGAACAAGGTGTAAATACATTATCCCAAACACAGACCAACCACCTACCCACCCAAATTAACTACACCACTAGAGAGAAAAAAAATAGGAAGGGTGTCAAAGTTTTACCCCACAAAATAGAAGATGTAATATATAAACTGAGCTTAGGTCACAAACAATACTGCTTTCTGTTGCATCAGAATACTAAGGTCGATAGATCTTATTTGCTGCCATGCAAACAATCATCAATCAATTTTGTGAAAAAATTTGACTGATTTTGATTCATAGAGCAGACAACCAAATCTGCCATGCCATAAACTTACAAAAAATTAAACAGAATTAAGGAATTAAACTTTCAAATTACTGAAGTGACAAATTCTGCAAACCAACATAAAATACCATGCTAAGCCATCATAAGAACAAAAACAAAAAAAACAAAAAACCTCAGGTTACGCAAATCCACAAACCCCCAAAAACCGCAGAAAAAACATAGATTAGAAAGTAAAAATAAAATTGTTGGGTTCGAGAAGGTGAGTAAGGGGCTGGCCGGACAATCTATCAAATCGTTTTCGGATTTTTTAGAGAGAAGGTGATTAGGGGGCTGGCCCGACAATTAGGGCATCATTGGGTCTTGAGAAGCCCAAAATTAGGGCATAACTACAGAAGCAGGGCATAACTATAGTGCACAACACGCAGGACGGAGAGAGAGATATGCACGAGGACTTAAGGGGGAGAGAAAGAGAGTACCAGTAAATTTCTGCAGAGAGAGACCTTGAAGATGGACACGCACGTGAGAGAGAGAGGTGCATGAGAGAGAGGGTAGGGCTTCCTGCTTTTTACGAGAGACGGCATGGAATTTTTACCAGAGAGAAATGCGCGCCATAGATTTTTCAAAAATTACCTGTCAACACGCGTAATAGTTTTCCACTTTTTCGAGAGTTTTAGGAAAGTCTCCTCTAATATCTTTTCATTTTCTTATTATTATAATGCAAGTGGAAATGTCATATTTTTTTTATATTCTATTTTCATGTAATAGAATTTTAAGTACCCAAATGACTAGTAAAACTTCAAAAATATTGTATATCGAGTAGATTTATGAAAACTTGGAAATCTTGAAAATAGATGATTCAAAAATACATTACAAGATGCACTATTTCCAAAACTTGAAATCTATTTTTTTTTCATGTCCATGCATCTTGATGTCGAGATGATCAATTTGCGGATATTTCGGCATCAAAACAACATCTTCCAGTGAAACTTTTGAGGTGGGCTCTAATTTGATTGTTTAGAGCCTTGGCTTTATATAAACTTTTTCCTTTAAAAAATGATGGGAAAAATAAAGCCTCACCTTAAAACCTCCTACAAAAACATTTTGAGTATAAGAGATTTCTACGATGGCTCTAAAATTAATTTTCTCCACTTCTTATAAGAACTGTAACTCAAAAAATGAGATCTTGCAAATCCATAAACACTTGAAAATAGAAGTCTTGATAATGTATGAAAATATATACATTTATAAGGCTTCCAACCTATTTTTTTTCACAATCATAGTGGTCAAGGTTGAACTTATCAATTTGAAGATTTTCCAACATCAGAACTGCAAATTTATGTGAGTTTTGAGGTGAGGCTTTACTTATTTTGATAGGGTTACAGCCCTAGCAAAACATTTTCCTTTCAAGAGAGAGAAAGATCATACAATATGTGTATATAAAGCCAATACTTTATATTGTAAAAGTAAGGTGCCCCTCAAAAATCTATCACAAGGTTGTGTTATAATGGAAAGCCGTTAAGTTGATCATCTCAATCTTGGGATATTTAGCTATGGAAAAAAAAACGGATTTGGGTCTTAGAAATAGTTCATCTTATATCGGGCTCTTTAGACTATCCATTTTCAAATTTTGAAATATTTGTTGATTTGCTTGATCCGCAACATTATCGGATATGGAAAGTTGATTTACATATTCACACCACCTATTCTACACTTTCATTGAGCCATCGGCTAGATTATTAAACACCAATGTATCATGTTTATAAATACTACTAAGTCAATTCTAGCCTTGAGGGCACTAGGACTGGGTCTTGCCTGGATTCGGACAAGTCAGCTTGGGTACTCTTTTTTTTGTTTTTTCATGTAGAAAAAAAGAAATATGGTTATATAC